TACCCGATGTCTCATCTGGTATACTCCATCGTGCCGATAGAGCATGTGAAGTGGCATGTATCCATAAGGTGGTACGGAGATGCTTCTTCATACCTAACGTCATGATGATGTTGGTATATCGATGTCATCATCCTCCTACATGGTGAACGTAATAAGCAGAGTAGGCCAGGTAATGGTAATGTTGTTGATACTGAGTCCCGCCGAGTTGGATTGGCTATAGCTATATTATCCACCACACCAGGACGATAAGGTAGTCTAACCTGTCTTATCAACTACATATAGCTCTAGTGGGTATCATACTAACCAACCTCAACCACTGCTGCATCAGCAGCTGCCCAATCGGTGGCTTTAATCTCTAATGCTGGGATATTGGTATCAGAGGGTGACGTTATGGATACATTAGCCTCGACTGATGATGATGATGATGCTGCACCTTGGGCTATATCACTTTTGATTCCTATAAGAATTGATGTAAGGAATATGGATGATGAGTTACCAACCTAGATAGGGGCTAAGAGTAAGCTCCTGGCCAATTGCAAAGAGGACTTCTGTTGCAAGCACATCACATTTAGCTGATGGTAAGTCATCATCATCATTCAAGACTTCCAATACCTCACTAGCATCTATACGCTCATCCTCATTTATAGCCAACTGAATGAAGTGTGATGAGTATGATGCTAGTGAATGAGAGAATACAGTATGTATAATGCATTGACACTCAGCAACACTTCCGAGGCTCTCATCCTTTATAACTAGCTTCAATGTAGCATCGTCGTCGTCTTCCACATTGTCATCATGTAGGTCAATTGGAGTCGAATCATAAAGGAGTCGTAGGAGAGTAGGAGTACGGAACATCTAATACAGGCCTATGCTCATGATGATGATGTTGTTGTACTCACTTGTAGGGCATTTATAAGTGGAGATGCATAGATAGCGAATTGGGCAGGGAACTCCTGTATGGGTAATTCCTGGAGTCGCCCTAGACGATGGTTGAATGTGAATGCCTATGAGTAAGAATAGTAGTAGATACCTCCACATAATGATGATGATGAGTAGGACCTTTAAATCGAACTCACGACATAATTGTGCCGGAAAGAAACCACCAGCTATGACAGTCTTGGATAGTGATTCTGACAACATTTGAGTACTATTATCCGTATGGTCATATAACAATAATAAGTACCTGTAGCTATATAAAGGCCTGCTCCTGCTCCTCCTGCTGATGATGATGCGGCCTCATCATCATCATTACTTGCCCTTATATGAAGTATTGTTGATGCATCTTGTGTTGTATCTTTATTATTACCAGATACTGTTTTTAATACTTGTAATAGTAAGAGGAGACTATCAATACTGTGTAATTGTATAGATAGTCTATGATAACATCCACCAGGACGGTACTCATCTTCATCATTGATGCCATTATTATCCATTATTGAACCCTAGGTAGATGAAGGTAACGTATTCTTATCCAACCTACTACTACTCCCTGCCAACCCTACTACCACTACTACTAGTAGTATGACTATTCACAAGATCAAGTTGATAAGTAGTAGTATTAACTGATTATTATTATTATGGTAGATATACTTAGTTATATGCCTTCTGGGCAATGTATAACTGTACTACACCCGATACGAAGTGTTCAACTTTAATAACCTTCAAACCATTAGCATTGATGATATTAGTAAACTCCTCTGGGGTAGGGAACTCGAATATAGACTTCTCGAGATATCGATATCTGACCATACAAGATGATGATAGTGACGACATCATTGTCGTATTGATAGTAGTAGTAGTCATTATTACTCATCCATATTGCCAGACACTAGGCCACCCAGAATAGGTACAACATAACGCACGAAATACTTGGCAATAGGTGCAAGAATAGTACCAGTAGGGGCTGTGAATTCTAGTATACCAACAAGGCTATCTGGACTTGATACTAATACTCTACTCATCTCACGGAGGGCTCTGAGATCAAGAGGATGATGATGATGATGAGAGTAGGAAGACTGATTCTTATTACCTAGGCCTATCAGGAACATTACGAATACCAAAGGACATGGTTATCTTGTCTATTGATTGATCTGGGACAGTAGTAAGGTTTTGTGCATCACCAACTTCAAGGAATACTCTCTTATCGAGATCCTCTGCTATAACCTTATCTTTACCAACGGATACCATACCTATGATAATGATGATGAGGTACCAATCTAGTGATAGCTATTCTTTCTACCTACACTGGGGTCTATACCCCTAACATTGCTTAGATTAGCCATATGAGCAGCCATAATAGCAACATCACCAGTCCCTGTAGCAAGATCAAGAAGCTTATCATCAGATCTCAAGGATAAGGCCTCCAACATAGCCCTACGCCAGCCTTGGTCCAATCCAAGGGACATAGCTCTACAATAAGGAATAATAATAAGAGTATGAGGGACGGTCGTTATTATTACCTATTGCCCATATCATAATACTCGGCGATGTGATCGAACATCTTACCCGACCCAAAGCGTTGTTGTTCCTCATTAGGATCATGGGAAGAAGCGACTGATGTGGTGATGATGGAGTCGAAGGTACGCTCCAATAGTGTATTAACGAGTACTAGAGCTAGTGGTATAAGGAGAGCTATTATCCAACATATACGTAGACAAGAGATCGTAGCTGCCATTCTGGAAAGAGGATAGGAAGGATAATCAGTATTACTACCTATACCAACAAATGCTCCTATGCAACCCAATACGACGGTAGTGATATGATGAAACTCTTTATCCAACATGTACCGCTAAGATAACATTATCCCTATACATTGGTTTGGTGATACTCAATGAGGTCCTAGGGTTATCATGCTTTAGGACGAGGGTGAGGAGGGTGAGGAGGAGGAGGAGGAGGAGGAGGAGGAGGAGCCCTTTAAAGAACAACAATAAGAACACTACCTACCCATAGCTTAGTAGTACCTACATACCCTACTCATACATTGCTCATCCTATTCTACCTACTATCGAGCCCTCATTCAATGTATCCCACTATGACCATATACGGAATACGCTTACCCTAGATCATTATCACTAATAACCTGTAATGGTAGTAGTTGGACACGCCGCTGTGGTGATGATTGCCATCACTTGCAATCTTGTCAAGACTTACTCATCCCTAATACCCTCTTATTCCATCCTACATCATCATCATAATCAATAATCGGCGATCTTAGTCGTATTGTATTAGATGATATAAGTATCCTTTCCATCATAAGCCTCTATCTACCTAATATAGCGTCCTCCATTGATTACATGTATAATAAGGATATCCCCAGGCTTAGTATTAATGACCTTGGGGTACTAGCTATTGTAGCAGTTCTCTGTTTTAATACCTTATGATAGGATCTAGGATAAGGATAGACAATCTACTACAGGATTATCGTAGTGGTTAGACTGGGATGTTAGATTATCATCTAACAAGATAATTCAATAATAATATCATAAAGGAAACACACGTAGCAGTAATGTAATAATAGTAGTAGTAGCTACAATTATGCTACAATATTTGCTTCATATTCATAACAAAAAACATAGAATTTCCTCCTTGGTGGAATCTGCTCAAGTGCTTGTTGTTGTTGTTGTTGTTGAGCCTTCTTAAGATAGGCATAATCATTCAGGTATAAGAGGTATTGGTGGAGGAAAGGTATCAGATAGTTGACCATTAATAACAATATCTGGTATTTTGATGGTAATGATGCTAATAGCTTCTATATGCTGCTGCTCTGCACCATCACCATCATTATCTTCTTGTGTTGTATGAATAAGTTTACCTTTAGACCATACACCATTGATAGTAACTCCATTATATACCTCCATACCATGACCATCTCGTAAACCCTGATAATAATAACAATAATAGAGTATACTACTGACATGGTAGTAGTAGTGGTAGTAGTACCTTATTAAAACATCCATCATGCATGTATTGATTGGGTCCCTTCAAAATACCATGCCCAATAGCATACCCCTCCTCATCCAACATACCAGCATATCTATTTAATACTAGTGTGGATGATGATTATAATAAGACTACTCCTAGTAGTAGTAGTATTACATATAGCCTTGCTTAGTGTATGCCACTTGAACCCGTGTTATACAACAACGACCATTGGACCATTCACCCTCAATAGTAACCTATAAAGGATATATAAAATAAGTATAGACAAATACTACTACTAGTACTACTACTACCCCTTCATCAACACATGTTAATATACCACTACCACACCTTTGTCCAGATATCCATGATCCCTCATATTCATATCTAATAATAATATGATAAAGGTAAGTTGGAGGTGGGAGTATATTAATACTTATTAAGATATACACAAGTACCACTACCATTAGGTACATCATCCTTAAAGTCTCCTACATAAACTCTTGGATATGGATAGTTAGGCGCAGTTCTAAAGCTAACATAATACTAATACTGCTTATTACAACACATCAATACTATTACTACCGTAATTGGCCATTACCACATCTCTTATTATGATGATATTCTCCAATATAAGTATTCCCCTCAGCATCAGTTGATCGTCCAACACCCTCCTTCATACCATATCCTGTAACATTAATGAAATATGGTGCTAGTAGTAGTAGTTATAGTAGTAATACTGAATTCCCCTTCATATACGTTCCTCTTGGTATCCACTAAACATCCATAACCATGATAACGATTATTAGAGAAGTGGCCACTATACTTTTCCCCAGTAGCTTTATGAGCACTTCTACCCTCACCCTCCCTTTTATCATCTTTCCATTCACCATCATATATATATCCACCATCATCGCATACTAGTTCACCCCAACCTTTACGTACATCATTACTCCAATTACCATCATATCTACAACATAAGGTGCTACTACTACTACTGCATCACTACTACTACTTACATTATGTGATGTGATGGGGAGATATATCTTCCTCTACCATCACGTTTACCATCAAGTAATTCACCAATATACTGATACAGAACGTAACATGATCATGGAAGTGATAGTAATAGTAATGATACCTCATCACCATTATCCCATCTTATATGCCAATACCCTTTTCCTCCTGCCCCACATGATCGTATCTAAAGAGTATAATGATGATGATGATGTATAACGGGTATATGCAGATCCTTACCTCACACCTGCCTGGCTTACTATCATTAGGTATCATCATCATCTGATATAGAGTAATACCGTGTATGTAGTAGTAGTAGTTATATATACCTTATTTGATCGCCACTTAGCATAGTTACTAGTAGCCCTCCATTCATTAGCAAATGGTGTAGACTGTATACGATCATGCTGATGCTGCTGCTGATTACGAGCATGATCATTATCATTCCTATTATTCGATGATAACCAATTATCTAGCCATCTCAACCAATAACTCTGTATCGTACCTATAAGGTAATAGAGTAGTAGTAGGAGGAGGAAAGGAAGAGGAGGATAAGAGGACTACTACTACTACCAAGTACTACTTATTATATCATCAGTAGCTTTACTAATAACAGACAGGTCATCTGCAATATTATCTGTATTCGAGTATACCACAATAGTAGTATTACTATTACTATTACCTCCCTCTACAGTAACCTCCTCTCCATCAGTTGTATTGTGGCTAGATGATGATGATGACATACTTTGGGTAGTAGGCTATAGTAATGGATATAACAATGATCATAATAGAACAACACCTTATGATTACCTCATCATGTGTATCATCATTAACCATACCCTCTTGTTGTTCCAATCCTGTTGTTCCAATAGATGGTTCTAATGATAGAGGTATATCATAGACCTGCTGCTGTTGATGATGATGATGATGCTGAGCACCATTATATAATGGATCTCTAGATAAGGGAGGATTATCTAGATTGATATCATCAGTCATCTTGTTATCATGCACTGTTGTATCTAATAACACAGCTTCTCATACTTCTTATAAACCAATATATAACTATACATGATGCTAGAGGTAAATGAGGACGGTTGGTAGTAGTAGGAGGAGGAGGTAGGATATGAGGTATTCCATGAGTAAATCCATGTATGGTCTTCATCAATTTCTTCTCCCCTTTATCTAGTCTTAACATCTTGTTTAACTCCTTACCAGCCTTCTTAGTACTACTGATTGATAATAATAATAACCACTATCATATAGAGTAGTATTACATTACTACAGTGCTCTTATCCATATCCACAATAAGATCAGCTTGTAGACTACGATGAGATAGTAAGAGGGAATTACTGGTACCAATAAGGAATCCTCGACACTAATAGTAGTGATGATTATAATAATAATAATTATCATAGTATTATTACTTGATATAGATAGTCCATAAGCTCTAATGATACATAGGTGTATACTGGGCATCTCTTATTAAAGATGGATAAAGGTAGACCATACCGTTCTAGTGTATATGATGAAATACCAAATCCAGGACTATAAATATTACTATCATCAGTATCATATTAATATTACTATTACCTATTATAACGTAGATAGTTCTGTCCAGGTGGTAGACAGGCTAATATTGCCAATATACAACTAGATGCTACTCTAGCCTTAGATGAATACACTATAACACGTCTCTCAAGCATAACTGCCTACACAATAATAGTACTATTATAATAGAAATACTCATCTACTACTACTACTACCTTCACAATCCACCATATCTTATCTCCTAAGTTGCGAATAAGAGATATGATATCAATACCACGATATAACTCATTAGGATCTATAATATTATATATAGTCGAGGTAGTAGATAGAGCTATTTATACTACTACTCATATTCTCCCACTTGGTATTCCTATTTAGTTGTTGTATCATCATCTGGAGTATTGACATATCCTTCAAATCCTTTTGCTAAACATTATCATCATGAACGTAGGTATTAATAATAGTTACCATAAAGTAAGATAGGATTATACTCTCAGTCCGTTGTAATAGGTTACCAAAGAAGGGTGCTTTCGATATCACCATTACAGCTTTCTAAAGTAGTAATAGATGATGATAATAGTAATCCCCTTACTACTTATCCTATTACTACCTGCAAGTAGCCTCTTGTAATAAGCGTGTCGTCCTCCTCAGTATGTGATACTTGTGTAGCTGGTATACGGTAGTATATGGATACACCATACATGAGCTCTAATAATAAAGGTGTATATGGTAGTAGTAATAGTATTACCTCCACAATATGCAGGTAGTATTGTATAGACATAGTCAGGCCTAAGAAGAGTAGTAGTAATAGGGGTAATATAAGGTCATGTTTATTACTTAGTATTACTATGTGCACCATCAGGTAGGGCTAACATTGGTATCCATGGTAGTATGGATGCTAAATCCGTCTTAAGTGATCTTATATCATACTCTATAGAGGTATATGGATCTATATTAGGATAGGTAGATAAACCTATTCTATTAGATGTATTATCACTCAATTCAACTAAGGATGTACCTGAATGATATACCTTATCATTAGAGGATACTGGCTACTACTTACAGTCCTCTTCAGTTAATTCAGGACTATACACATACTCTATACAAGGACCATGATAGGGGTGGAAGTTCACAACCTACAACCGCAGAAGCAGCAGCAGAAGACAACTGATGATAATAATGAGATAGTGAATGCCTACCGCAAGTGCACATACAACATTGCCGTTGATATGTGGATCATATAGGATATGGGAAGCTTGGGAAGTATTATGACTAGATGATGATGAATAGCAGTCCGGATGGTCGGATAGTCCGGATCCTTTCTCCTTATCTTTATATACAACTTTACCACCCTGGGAAGCACATCCACCACCATGTATCAATGCTTTAACCATAGCATATCTATAAGAGTATGATAAGTAGTGGTATACATAACAACAATACCAACCCTTGATCATCATCTGCTGTATCCACACTACTACTACCCTCATCATCATCATCACCACCTATCTCATAATGCACTGTAGTGTTATTAATACCTATAGTATTATCATAATCATACAACAATACTCTTATACATCTACTTTCGGGCGATAGAGGGTTCCCTTCCTCTTCCTGGTATAATAATGAATCTAATAGACTAGACATACTACTCCTCATCCTCATCATCACCTTACCATTGCTTGATGATGATGATGATGATGAACATCTATCATCAGAGAGTTCATCTGCATTATCTGATGTGTGCTTCTGTACTGATTTCTTCAATTTCTTTAACATGTATCAAGGTGATCAATCTTTGAGAAGTAGCTCCCTTCACACGACTTAGTACTACTACTATCACAACAACACAACATTAAATATGATGATGATAATAGTGAGTAGTATCAATAATAACAACATTGAGGATAATGATGATGATGATGATCCATACAACTGATAGTGTAATACCATAAATTATACACTTCCCGTCGCCATCACCATCTCATTATCATTATTATTATCAGGACCACTAACTAGAGCTTCTACTAACCTCTTTGCAGTAAGGACTACACTACCACCTATTATTACATCTATACCTAGTTGGGAGGATATGTCAAACCTAAGGATTTGATAATACAAGGTAACAATAAGAACAACAAGTACTACTCACCCCTGACGTATCTCTGGAAGTGTAATACCACCTAATACACATACCTACAATGGAGAGGTTAGATAACATACCCTAATAATGGTAGTACTATAAGTGTATCCTTGCTACTGCCTCCACCTTGATGATGATAATATCGTCCACCTATTCCTCTAGGACTATCCCACCCACCCCAATTAGCAGCAGTACCCAGACTTTTAAAGGCACTACGACCAGGGGAGAGGCTACCACTAAACAAGGGAATATGACTATACCTATTATTACTATTACTCACCCTCTACGGCCCTCTCCTCCTCTTCCTGATGCCCTTCCTCTAACACTAGCAGATGCATAAGCTGTCCTACCAGAAGCTGCTACACCTAAGAGATCATCATAATAGTAGTAATGGTGGTAGCAGTGTGGTTGCTGAGGCTTACTGTTCCTAGCTGGACAGACATTAGGGTATGCTTCCTCATCTACCATATTATTTTCTACATCTTCTATAACTTGACCTAATGTTGGTACCTATATAGTATATTAATAACTATCCCTAATGGTGTGATAATAACCTTACAAAACGGCTGATCCTTATTGGAGCTTTCTTAGCTCTCTCCTTATTCCTCTTCAATATACCTTTATTCTTAGCATATATATGTGATTGTTTATTACTACTTGCAGTAGCACCTATACACCATCAACAACGACATGAATACCCTATGTAGAGCACTCTCACTACTACTACTACTTGCCACATCATGTGCTTGATGTAATCTCAGTTTTAATAACTTCTTAACTGCATATTCCATTACTGAATCTAAGCCAGCTCTCTTGAGTAAAGAGTCAGCAAATGGTTCTGTACACCCATCCATATAGGTAAGGTATCTACTACTACTACTATCACTGCTATGATGATGATGAGGAGGAGAAGGAGGAGGACCAGCAAGCAACAAGAAGAATCCTCTTATTATTATTACAATGCTATTAGCCTGAGCTTCTGTTCATCACCAATAGTATTACTACTCAGTAGGTGATTGATCTTAGGAAGTATAGTATCACTACTTACAAGATGACCATCATCATCAACCCCAGTAGCCAATGCTTGTTCAACCTATAGCAACAGTACTATTATTATTCTAGTTACTACTACTACCGCAGCAGCAGCTACCTTTTTATTATTACCTCAGCTACTTGACCTAAGCTCAATGTCTCGATACAGTTGTTACAAGCATTAATAATATCAACATGCATAGAATACCTATAGGATAATAATAATAATTCTACTACTACTACGTATTGGTATTACTTTTTCAATTTCTCTTTATATATTGGAAGCTCCCTGATAGCCTCAACACCATCTTTCAAGCCATTCTTCTTAATACCACTATCATCATCATCATGATCATCATCAGTATTACTCTGTAATTTACCTATACATGTTGTTGTTGATGATAATGAAAGCAGCAAGCCCCTACTGATCTTGCTAGTATCATTAAATTGTTGTATATCCTCCTGTATAAGGGATGATACCTCAGCTATATGCATATGTCGATACTTAGCCCACATCTCATCACATCTCTCTGATAATAACATCTAATAATAAACATTATTACTAAACATAATACTATAGATACTCACTCGTTCCTCTTTAATCTGACCATTATCATCATATTTATATAGATAACTAGGTACAACTGATACTCTTGATGCAGCTGTTGCTAAGAGGTATATAACATCACTACGAAGGAGGAAGAGGACTATACTCTGTGAGACTATACCATCATCATTATTATTATCATAATCATCATCATCCTCTCCAAGACTCCATTCTACTCCTGCTGAATCAAGACAATCCAATACCATATCTTCATAATGGAAATCATGTACTAACAATGATGCTATATCGATAGATCTGATAACAACACTTCATACACCCAAGAAGTAAGTACAGCTACTCCTACTACTACTACTCACCTATCTACAATGAGTACTTTACAATTGCTCTGTGGTGGCTTATCAGTAGAGGCTTCTGAATACACCTGACAAGAATAATGACTACCATCATGAGTAGATGCTATTACTAGATCCAGATTGTGCATAAGTTTCTCAGCAATAAGCTTAGGGAATCCTGATCGTGTACCAGCTTGATATCGTATAACCTTAGGCTGAGGGACGACAACATTATTTAACGAACATGGAACAAGCCCCTTTGATACTACTACCTTCTCATTCAACATAGTACACACTGACAATATTGAATTCAAATGAGCATTAATAAAGTAGTCGGAATCAGAGCTCTGGGAGGATAACCTAGTAGTATTATTATTATCCCAGTATTATCACGGTAGTATCTTACGCATTGATAGCTAATGGCTGGTCACAGTGATAAGACCTCTCATCAAAGCAAACGTAGTCTTGGAAGAAGTCGACAAGAGCTCCACAACGATTCACAAACTGAGGAAGGGATATAGACAAGTATTATGATAGTAGTAGTATCATGGGTATCACTACTATTAGTACCTCAGATACTGAAGCTAACTGATCCATAACCCTCTTGGGCATTGGACTTGTACAATATACAAATGCAGAACGGTATTTAGGACGGAACTTCTTCTTCTTCTTAGTATCATAATCCTTGAAATCCCGTATTATACGATCAATGGAATCCTGAATATATATGCAATATTGTTATTAATAATGATTATATTACAGGTGTAGGTTGGACTAGATAAACTGCATCATAATCAACTGCTAACTCACGTTCTTCATTCTCTAATAGATCGATCATACCAATATCTGATTATTACTACTATTACTACTATTAATGTAAACCCTATTACCTTCTTCTAATAGATCTGTAGTTGTACAACAACTGGATAGGACCTTTAAACCATGATAATCTAATATCTATATAAGCAACAAGAACAACCTATAGAGTATATGAGACTCATGAGACCTATTACTACCAAAGCTAATGGTCTTGCAACTACTAGAGAATCATCTGAGGCTCTCTTCGTATCCTAAATATACAAGTCCTTAGTAGTAGTATAAGTAATAATAATACCTTGAGTGTGATCATCAGTTTAGACCGCACTTGTTGTATCATATCATTTATGATATGATTCTTAGATAGATGAGTAAGTGAGAAGTTACTAGAAGACGGGGGCATGCTGATACTACTACTAGGTTGTAGCATGATTAATGAGTAACAATAAATCTGTTACTATTAACAACACATATACTATCACTATGATCGATCATACTCTCCATACTGGTATGAACAATGACTTCGAATACTAGATCCTATTATTAGCGACTCATTACTACTACTACTACTACTACTACTACTACTACTACTACTACTACTACTACTACTACTACTACCAGCTCTTTATGAGTACACCTCTCCCACTTTATTATACACCATATCTAATACCAATGGTTCATCATCATCATATCTTTACTACCATGAAATATTATGCTACAATCTACCTGATCCTAATATGCAGATCTATACTCTATTGATATTACATAATCATATTCGAATGGTGAGTACTACTAGAAGGTAACCTTACTTGTGCAATAGGATTATCATCATGACGATGATGATGGTGGTATGTAGTGTCATCATAGTTTGGCATCATCTTGTCCCTTACAAAGAGTATTCCTTGTTGTATACCGATACCATCCATTCTTGCTAACAACAACTTACTCTGGTAACAATAATAATGATAATGGATTGTCTTCCTACGGGCAGGAGATAGGGGTTACTTATGTAACTCAACTCATTATGTAGTAACCAATATGGAATTATACAAGAGATTTGGTCAATGACAGGTGTGGGAATCGAACCCGGTATCACCTCTGGAGCTGCTTATCCCACAAGCCTCCATAAGGCGGGCGAGAATCGTAATATGTCTTTCGATCTCCCTCCCTTAGGGCGGTTAGGCTTTCTTGTCACCAGGCCTCAGGATCTAAGGTAAAGGACGGTGCCTTACCTTAAGGAGGCACCTTGAGGACGCCAGGTTCACCTCCTCCTCCTCACGGTCATTTCACAAGGGCACTTTTGTAACCCCAACGGGCCATAAGGTAGCTCCGGAGGTAGTACTAGCATCTTACGCCTCCCGCCTCATTATTTCTTACTCTTTTGCCTCGCTAACCTTAGTCTCCGAACCCAATGCGGTTTGGTCGCGGAAGTTGAAACCCTACGTTTTTGATTCTATTTTCGTTACTTCCTAGCCATATACTTGACACTTTTATTTATATTCATCCTAAAATGCCACACCCTACGTATTCTCAAGGCGACTTGGATGCTTTCCCAGCGTTACTGCTCAGCTCTAATGATCCGCCAGCGGGTAGACGTCCAAGAACCCCACCTATGCAAGGTCCTGGAGGTCCTCCAATTCGGCTTTAAAATCTTCCCAATTCGTTGGCATCCATGGTGTCCAGTACGACATGTAGTATAGTTTATTGAGTTGTAAGGTGTGCCTCTTGTGTCCCTACTACTCGAATGTTATACATGTCACCAGTAGGGTAACAACAAGGTTCTATTGTACTATTGAGAAGGATATCTACCTATCCTCTCATGTCCATAGTAGGGTTTACAGTGTTAGGTAATATCCATCGTATATTAGACCCATTAATAGAGGTACTAGGTTATCCCTATATCGACAGATATTACTCTAGTTCTACTCCATTATCGTCGTGTAAACCCTTATTACGATGCCATATGGTGCTATACTACCATTATCTTCAGTGAGGGGGGTGAATCAGGATGTTACTGCTCGGTATTATTACTACTGCTACCGTTGCGATATCATTAACCTTTACTATAGGGTATATGTGACGGATATGTGATGCTCGTCATCATCCAGAGACACTCTAGAAGTGAGATATCGCCCTATCCTATACAGTAATATGATGAGAACTGGGCTTTGGTAGGTAGGGGTATGTGACAACTAAATGGTATCATTAGGATGGATGTGTTACCACCAGTAGTAGTTACTAATACCCATAAGGGTATACTACTAGAGTCTTATTACTCAGTGTACTGATAATTCATAATCAACCTACGTGCGTCTAACATAGACCATGGCCTATTAACCGTATTAGATGACCCAGCGCTGTAGGATGATGGGCTAGTAGTAGTATTCATCATGATCATGATGGTCTTCATCATAGGCTCCATCAAACTCCAGTATACTGTCTAGTATATTATGTCGCTGTAGTGTAAGCCTGAGTATCATGGGTATTACTGGGTGTATACGTTATCAATCATGATCCTATCTATATAGTGCTCTCATCGTCGTTGTGTTACATATACATACCATTTTACTTGTAGTATAAATATCTGTTCCTATGGGTAAGGCTAAGAAGACTCGTAAGGTGGCAGTAGCTAAGAAGTTGATTAATCCTAATGATACTCGTCTAGTGTAAGTAGTACTCTAGAGTGATGGTAGTAGACTTATATGTTATTTGTTTTAGTAAGAAGACTGTTGGAATGGAGAAGCAAGCAAAGATGAAGCAGGATAATAAAGATATGTGATCATAATAATCTACCATAACTATACTATTACACTATGATTATTATTATCAGAATAGTACCTAGAGTATCGTCAGCTATGTTCTTCCAAGCTAATAATAACCTCAAACCTCCCTATCAAGTAATGTCTATAACTCAATAACAACATGTACCATTATTAGTAGGTCCTGGTTGATACCAACTTCTTTAATTTCTCTATACAGAATAAGCTAGATCCAATGCAGGCTCTTATGGACTGTTTATTAGCTAAGGCAGTACCATGTGTTACTGATTGTGTTATTGCAGAAATGGAGAAGTTAGGACATCGTTATAGGTATTATTACTACCACTATCATCTATACCTCTAGTTGATGATATTGTAGGTTGGCATTACGATTGGCTAAGGATCCTCGATTTACTAGACTTACTTGTGATCATAGTGGTACTTATGCTGATGATTGTCTAGTTACAAGAGTACAACAACATAGATGCTATATAGTAGCTACTAATGATAGAGATCTAAGACGTAGATTAAGGAAGGTAGTAATAATAGTAAGTAGGATATAAGTAATTATTATAATAGATACCTGGTGTACCAATAATCAGAGTCCAACGTGGGAAGTATGCAGTAGAGAGGATGCCAGAGAGCATATCAGCAGTATTACTACTACTACCATACTAATAATATTATAGTAATGCTCAGGTACCACTTAACAAGTCCATACTAGCATCCAAGAAGAAGAAGAAGTAATAACGACAAGAAACGACCATTACCTTACGTTTCTTGCTCAACAGTTTGTAGTGTATAAGTGCCTCAGGGCGTGCGCTTATCGTGTGGTAGTAAGCGCGCCCGCCCAAGTGATCGATACTGACTGCTACTGGCGGGCATGTTAATTGGTATAGGTTGAATCATCCAAATAGATGTCTGACTCTGCATCCAATTCCTCGTCACTCTCCACTTTAACAAAAGTAATGTGAAAAGTCACTTTATGTTGATTATTATTATGATAGGTGTTCATTGGAGCAGGAGTAGCTGCTGTTGCTGGTGTTGGCCTTTATTATCTCTTTAGAGAGGAAGGAGGACAGGAATCTACAACACCACCACACAAGGCTACTACTACTAGTACTACTAGTAAGAGCACTAAGGTTGATATTGATAAGGTACATGCTACTACTACTTGTAATCATCATCATTAGTATTATAGATATCTAAAGCACAAGTCCTTGAGATTATGAAGGCTATTCTCGCTTCCCAGGATGAGATGAAACAAACAATGAAGGTGGTCATATGTTCCTCCTCCTCCTCCTCCTTTTCCTCCTTGTTTATAGAATTACATATATAGGTCCTCACTCGGGACTTAGCCGATGCCCAGGCTAAGGGGGATGATGAGGCTATGCAGTTCCAAAACGTTTACAATAAGGTTCAAGCTGTCCAACCTAAGGATCCTCTCGAGACGTAGTATACTAATCATAGTCTCTATTTATTATAATAATATTTGCAGATATGGACTTAGTATGATGGAATTCGATCAGTTGTTGGATAGGGAACAAAATGATCCTCGTAAGTGATGTTCCTGTTATAATAATATAGACTTATCATACTAATCATCAGAGATCCGTGAATGTATCGTTGAGATCATGGGCGGCAAGATACCTGAGGGCGGTCCTCAACCTACCAAACAATTATCGGTTAAGCAGATAATATCTATCCATGAATTCATGCTACAACAATTGGATCGTATTGTAACAGAGTTCTCTGCTATGCCTGAATCGGTAGTAGTAACAGTAACATATGTATCATCCTATTATTGCCATCAATCACATGTTAGGTCCGTGCTAAGTTTGATATGAAGACCGTTACTATCGCGGCCCAGGCTATTGTTGGTAGTGCAGTAGAGAATAAGTAATATATTAATATTAGTGGTTATGATTATTGTATTATTATTGTTATTATTTAAGGTTCTCTGTCTCCTCGGATGATATTGAGAGTGCAGTTATGTTAAATCATGCTCAGCTATCTGTTAGTCAACAGTTTGCTAATATTAATATAAAGATGCAGGAGACCATGACCAAGTTGATGGATCAGGTATATATTACACCCCTACATCACTATGATCACTATTATACATTATCTCAGGCCATGGGAGGTAGTACATCGCAGTAGACAATAGATAAGATAACTTCTTGTTTCTGATGGATGATAACTAATACTACTAATACAATGGATATAAATCTACCCTTATCCATTACATCCTTTATTATTGTGTTATAAGTAGGGGTATAAGATGTATCACCCGTCTTACGACCACCAATACATAGAATACAAGATGGTATTTGCCCAATTCCAATATAAAGAGATATTGTCATAATGCCTCCGTCTTATCTCGATTAGTTAACATCCCTCTTCGCGTGTATGAGCCATATGGACTCTGATCATTAAGCTTCAACACTTAAGTATTAGTAACTCCAACACAAATCATCTCACAGGGTTATTAACCTCAACAATTCCATTATCTGTTATTATGATCTAAGCAACAAAGAGAGGTAGAGTTGACTCTGGGAAACACAATCTACGGCTATACCAGGATGTGACGTATTGAGGAGTGATGATAGAATAGTTCATCACTAGAGTAGAAGGATCTCTTGGACCTCATCTATACAGCCCACATATTGTACCATGTTTATAAACGGGTGAACACACACCATCTCTGGCGTCTACATGTAAACAGGACTAATGTTGTTGTTATTCGGTATAGCCGCTAGCCTCAACATTGCCATGTTAGTATCAATGATGAGGACCTCAGAGACGGCAGATCCAATGCTACTATGGCACGAGTAGTTGTGGGAGATCCGTAATCTTTGTTAATCGGTACAGTCCCTTGTTAACTGTTATTAAGTACTATTATTATTGAGTACTCAACTCGATAGTAGCAGTTGATATGGTCAACAACATCTAAAGCATGATGCTAGTAGTGAACATGATGATGATATGGAAATAGTAGTTATATTCAATATTTGTATGTATTTATTATGAGTATCGTGATTATGAGTTTTTTATAGTATGCATATTATGTGTTGGATGATCTATTATTGAATTGCCATCTATTGTGAGGTAATAGACTCGACTTAACTATTTCATGTGCCCAATCTTCATCATCTTTATTATTCTTCAACATTTCACCATCATCATCATTATCATGATCATCGTTATTATTCAATCCAGTTGTTCCCAATCCAACAACCACCTCAGGTACTCCTCTGTTACAGTCTCTATTACGACTCTTACTTCCTTCTTTAAGACGTTTAGTCGGTAGCTGGTAATGATGGTCGTTGTACTTCTCATCATCATCATCATCTGGAGTAGTATCTATCGTATCATCATCCAATAACAACAACAACAACTTCGTATCATCCATACTCTTACGGTAGTAATATTGTTGAGCAGTAGTAGTAGGGGGAGGGTACTGAGGATAATAATGAAGTATACAAATATAATCATCAACATCAGTCCAACTACCTGTGTTGTTAAACCATGTTGTTGTTGTGATGATACGTTGATATCAGTATTAGTAGGTAATGATGTTGCAGCCAATACCCCTCCAAATAAGTACCTTTCCTTCTCATTATCATATCCCCTATAGTAAGTAGTAGTACTAATACTCCAACTACCTTATCTGCCGTCGTACACGCCTCAATTCCTCTATACCATCATCATCATCACCCTTCTCCTCTACCTCTTCCTTGTTATGCATGGTGATTGTCCTGTATAAGTTGATAACTGTAATTAGTGTATATGATACAGTAGATACGTTTCCTCTTCCTCCTCCTCCTCGTCATCCTTCTCCTCTTCTTCTTGTTGTATCTCCTCATGAGTATCATCATGGTCATCTGATGATGATTAATAATAGGAGGTGAAGTATAGACTCTTACCATGCATTATGCTCGCATTTCCAACATGAGTAGTATTCTGAGTAAGACTAGCGTCTGTAAACACACAATTGATGTGACTATTACTATTAGGGGGTGTAGCTCCTGCAGAGTAGTATGTAAATGGGTTATATGTCCATGTATAGATGCTGACACGCCACCGCCACCATCAGGGGTTATTAACTCAGTACGTAGTATATTAATCTATATCAATAACCACAAGCAGCCTGTGGATCCGATATACTAGTATTACGGTATTAAGTAGATCATCCACATAATGACGTATACGAGTGTGCTCCCCTTTAGTTATCATTCCCTTCTTGTTATCATCATCTATACACCCACTACCATCCTCTTCTCCTAATCTATCTTCACCCTTTTGTGACATATGACTCTAATAAGCCCATAATAGTAATAACTATCTAATACACTACGCCCTACTTCTCCGGCTGGTACTTTATCCATATCATCAACCACTACTCCTCCTGATGATGATGATGTCTACTACTAGATTAGCTCTCATTATGAATAACTTACCTTGTGGTGGGATTCCAGGATACCCTTCTAAGGACCCCTCATCATCTCCATTAGACTTAGGCTGCGAAGTTACATCATCATTATCCTTACGTGGTTTGATGATATCATTATTATTCTCCTCTTCTTCAACAGACGACATTGTAATATATCTACTACTAGCTAATAATTACAACACAACATTAATATGATATAGTCGGTAACGAGGGCATATCCTATTGATGATGTTCCAGGTAGTAGTAGTAAGCAACTCCTTATTTAGAACGAAGCTTGGACTTAGCAGTACCACGGACCTTCTTACACTTGTTCTTCAATTCCTTATAAGATCTACGCTTAGCTTGGAACTCAGGAGCAAGACCATGACGACGTAGTCTATGCTTAGGTTCAAAGGCTTGAGCCTTTTCAACAGTATCATAGATAAGACCAAAACCAGTAGAGCGTCCACCACCAAATTGGGTCTTGAAACCGAATAAGCTGATAACACGAGCATCCTTAACCTTATACCTACAATAAAATAATAATAAGGAGGAGAATAATGATACTACATCTTAGCTAGACTATCAGCAAGATCCTTCTTAGAGACACTACCAACACCGGGGTGTAGGACGTCAACAACCTAATCATTATTATAACTATTACATCATTCTTCTAACACTATTATTACAAATTGCTTGCGACCTAGCAAAGGGTTCGTAATGAACTTCCTGGTTCGGACGGTGAACTCGGCCATACCGACTGATGCGTACTCGTGGGAGGGGCTGCGGAGCCAACGAGACGCCACGCTATTTCATAATCGATCACTTGGGCGTAGCGAGATTGTAGCGCACCAAGAATATTGCAGTCTCGGCTAAGGTATCCATGGGGTACTAGAGCAGATTCGTTGTAGTTTTCCTAGGTGATATATCACAATATACATGAGCAACTCCATACCTAGGGATGGTGACTATAGTATACACCTCTTTATAATGATTATAGTTGTATATACCTCTTTATAATGATTATAGTTGTATACACCTCTTTATAATGATTATAGTTGTATACACCTCTTTATAATGATTATAGTTGTATACACCTCTCCAGATGATTATAGTTGTATACACCTCTTTATAATGATTATAGTTGTATACACCTCTTTATAATGATTATAGTTGTATACACCTCTTTATAATGATTATAGTTGTATACACCTCTTTATAATGATTATAGTTGTATACACCTCTTTATAATGATTATAGTTGTATACACCTTTTTATATAATGTCAGAAGTAAAGAATAGTGTTATACAAGAGATTATAAAGAAGATACAAAGATATGTATTCGAGAGACGTAATAATGCTACCAACAAATATGTATGATTATAACACTTGATGTTGTTAGGGTTACGTATTGACGAGGCATTCGCTGACTTTGATCCATATAAACATAAGATTATCACTTCGACTCAGTTTATTAGAGTACTCGATACCATCTTAAGATCATCATCATCATCATCTCTCATATACACATAAAGAGGTAGTAGTAGTAAAAGCATTAATAGGCTCAGCGATGATGATATTATTAATATGATCAGGCTTATGAACTCTTGGCACAATACTATCAAGTGCAGAATGGTATGATACATTATGCTAATTTCTGTGATGATGTAAATAAAGTATTCTGTTTATATAAGCACTTAGAGAAGTATCCAACAGTAGAGATACCACAACCAGGTAGTACTATTGGTGAAGAAAAACATGATCATATCACTACTACTACTATCACCGACCTTGATGAGAAAAGGTAACAACAACAACACTACTACTATTATTATGATGATGAGTAACAAGACTCTGAATAACAATAGTCTGGTAATACATGTGTAGGTATGCTGATGCTGATCTAATTAGGGTACTATATAGACTAGGATTCTTATGCTCCACTCGAGGATTCTCCTTAAACTACCAGTAGGATTATTATTGAGGTCATCACCAGTAGCAGTTGTATTAGGTTTGAGGTCTTTGATCATCATAATACTGGTAGTGTTACTACTACACAATTCTTGCGGAACTTCCCATTATATGGAGCTCTTACTAAGGATGAGAAGGATATATTACTCAAACGGTAGTGTTATGGATACTAGTAGGAGACGATGAGTAGTAGTAGTTACTCTCATCTTACTAACGACTGTGAGATGATTAACTACAAGGCATTGAGGGAAGATATCCAAGCTGCTGCTGCTGCTGTTATCCAGCCGTTTAGTCCTACTAGTAGTAAGGATCATCATCATGGTAATACCACTATCATCATCATCATCATGTCACACAGATATGATGAATACAGCATTACCTAAGAAGAGCATGTATTCATCATCAACGACAACATCATCAGATAGTTCACCTGTTATAGAGGTTATCCAAACTAAAGTAAAGGATAGTCGTCTTGATGATGTTGTTGGGTATACTCTTGAGATAGGTACTTGAAAGAAGGCTTAGGATGAAAGAGTATTTTAAGGATTTTGATCCTCTTAATAAGGGGATATGCAATGCAGGTGATCCGTATAATAATGTTATTATCATCATTATCATCACTATTCAGCTAATGTCTTATACGTCTTTACTCTACTAGGATTAAACTTATCACAAGGTGAAATGGATAAGCTTTTACAACAGTACTCATCATATAGTGAGGACGGGTAAGTACGTGATAACATACTACTACCACACGCACCTCCTCATTATTGCTGTCTTCAGGGCTCTTAATGTGAGGTATGTAGCACTATGTAATGATGTAGATGTAATATTCACTAATAATCGTGTTATTGATGATCTCACTTTCCAACCTTCAATGCCTGGTACTACTACTACTACTATCTCCTCTAGTATTAGCATTATAATTGTTATTAGGATCATTAAAGACTAGTCCTACTAGAGGTAGTAATGATAATAATAGTAGACAATTGAGTAAGGAGGAAATGACAGTGATCGAGAGTATTGAAAGACATATTATTGCAAGGTGATAGCAATAGACATAGTACTATCATCCATTGTTATCATCATCATCAGGATAAAGCAGTTAAGGATCCCATTGAAACCTCAATTTATCAACTTTGATAAATGTGCTACACACACTGTTAGTGTATCACAATTTAAAAGGGTAGTATACTATTAATGATCATATAACTACTACTGCTTCATAGTGGTAGTAGTATACTAGGTGCTCGTTGGACTGCTGAGATTTGATGATAGTCTTAGTGAGGAAGATATGGATCTATTAGCAAAGAAGTTTACCAAGAAGTAATATTAATAGTCATCATCATCATGATGTTGAACCTACTATAATAATAATAATCTTATATCAGGAATACTGTAGATAAAGTGGATTATGGATATTTATGTGAAGTGGTGGATCCTCCACCAGCACTCTGTGTGGACAATGTTGTAGATAGGAATATCCTACCTAGTAATTATGTTCTTCAGTAGTAATCCTACATGTGCTGTATGTTGTATATGATGTTATAATAAGGAATAGTGTTATACAGTGCTTAGTAAATGATGATTATCGA